AGAATTATTATATAAATCTGTATGAAAAAAAATTCCCTATATTTTATTCTTTTTCTCGTCAATCACTGCACTTTTTCCCCAAACATCCAGCCAAATACAGTTGTTTACTAACTTTTCAAGATAATAATTTTTATCACAATTTGATTATGTGACATTTCTAATCAAATTCCGGAAGTTTGCTTAACAAGCTCTGTAGAAATTTCATTGAATTATTCCTCGTTATCAATAAATCTACGTTCTCTGACGGTATAGCATTGGATCTTAGTAGGACGATGACGTCACCGTGCGAGCAATAGTGGTGAGTCATAACACCCCTGAGAGTGAGAAGGCAGCTCAAATATTTTTTTCCTCCCTAGGTAACATTGAAAAGATCTCTTTCTTGATTGCCTTCTCTCGCTCTTTCATATTTCTTTACAATTTTAGCGGGAGAAGGGAATACACATTTGGCGCTTTATCGCGCTTTTTTTCATCGTACAATTATCTTTTTTTATTTTATTTTACTTAAATACTAAATTGTTTTAATTTAATAGATTGACTAAAAGAAGATACCACACCACAATCAATCCAAACTCCCCCGTAAAGATACAAAATATTTTTTTATACCCTTTTAATGTATTCCTAGTTTCAGTTTAGTTTTCAATAAATAGACAAATAAAATTGTTATTTAATTAAGTTTTATTTCTTTGGTATCCATAACAAATAACTATTTAAACTTTTTTTTTACAATACAGGAGAGGACGGTCTAAATCAATTATTGAGAATTTGATCCAATATCGTTGACATTTTCTTTGTAATTTTAGACCTTTTATCTGCAATTCTAAGCATTTTCTGGCTTGAATTATAAACACTTTTTTATAATTCAAATTTATTCACACAAAGAACGGTACAAAACGTTTTTATGCGCTTTTGATTTATTCCTAGTTTTAATTTTCCTTTCAATAAAAAAAAATTAAAAAACAAATAGAATTTTTATTTGATTAAGATTTATTTCTTTAGTATACAATTTCAAGTTTTTTTTTTTTTTTTTTTTTTTTTGGTTATGCAGATTGTTGTTGAGAGAACCAACAATTATTGAGAATTTTATCAAATATCGTTATCACTTTCTTTGTAGTTTCAGATATTTTATCTACAATTATAAACGCTTTCTTGTTTGAATAATAAGCTCTTCTTTTAAAAATGAGTTGAAATAAAGAAAATAATAATTTTAATTGAAGAAATAAATTTTCTAATTTTTTTAATACGGATTGATGCAGAGAAACGTTAAAATCAATTAATGTGGTTTTGATCAGATATCGCTATCATTTTCTTTGTAATTTCGATTATAAGCACAATTCTTGAATTATAAACACTTTTTTTAAAAAATAAATTGAAGCAAGGCACACACAACTCTAAACATCTACCTCTGAGAATATTTTAAGTCAGAACTGTGGTCAGTGCTAGGCGGGGGCGGAATTCGTATCGACCAGCCATCGCCGGGATTCAAACCCCGGTTCACCTTATTGAAAGGCGAACGCTCTGAGTCACCACGTCTCTAGTATGAGTATTAGTAAAAAATTTCAAAATACAAAAAAAAGGGAAACAAAACATAAAATTATAAGACATTATTTAAGAAATGGCATTTTTGTGTAGCTAAATGTGTTTTGTGTAGCTAAATGTAGCTATCCACTAGTTGAGGCTATGTTTGTTACGATACATTTCTTTACATTTTTTAAATTATGTATTAAAAGATTTGTTTGTTATTAATATCAAATATACATGTAGCTATTTTGAATGATCTATATTTGGTTGATGAAGTAGCAGTAAGTACTTTTTCGCTATAAGTGCATTCTTACTATGTTAAAATAATTATTTGTGTAAATAAATTTATTCACTTTAATGAATAATTTATCTTATTAGAATTTTTGTCTTAAACAAATAAAATGTCAATATTTTTTTTAAGAATAATTTAGCATTTTAAAATTTTGTTCCTTAAAATGTTATGTCTACTGTTACAGACGCGAATAAACTTGATAGCAAATTATTTAAAATGTTGTCTCTTAAAAACTGAAATTGATGTATTATTTGCAGTATCATAATTATACAGGAAATATGTTAATTCAGAATATGTGAAAATAATGGAAATCAAGGTAAGAGACATGTCAATTTTTATTCTATCAGGCCAAAAATGTATCGGCTAAAAACAAGTTTGAAAAACATTTAAATAGCATCGAAATATATAAGTAAAATAATGAGTTGATTAATTTTCAAAAATTACACTATCTCACGTAATGATTTTTTTTTCTATTTTCGGTTTTTAAATGACACTAAATTTTGAAAATGATCCTCATATCCTTTGTGTTGCTTAAAGCAGTCTTTTTTTTAATTTTTTCTTCTTCTTAGTTTTCATCAAAATATTCAAATTTCGAATACATTTGAAGCGTACCCTTATTTTGTTTTATGCAAAATATTTTTATTTTTCGTTATTTATATTATTATTAAAATTACAGTAGATTTCGTAAGTAACTCATGAAAACACAATTTTTTATTGTGGCATATCTCCTAAAACTTTGTGATTGCCCTTACTAAATATCTTTATTGAGTGTCATTGTATATTGACAAACGATATGATATTGAGATGAAACAATATAAAATTACAATGGTGCCATCCAGTTTCTGCCTGCCCTTCAGTCATTTTTTTCTAAGATGGACATGAAAAAATCTTCCTCATTGTTCTTCAGCTGCAAAAGCATTATTTATTTATATATATTATTTTATTGTTTATTTGTGTGTGCCATCCTCTTATTGACTAAACGCTTTTTGTTTATTAATTGAATTAGAATTTATTTCAACAAGAGGCAAAGGATTTAGCCAAAAAGAGAATGGGCACTCAGTAAATAAAGTAACAAATAAAGGGCAAAAGGATAAACTACATCTGCAATAATATTTACTTAAAAATTTCCTAGATTTCTATCCTACAGAACGAATTCACCTTTTTTGTTAAATGCTTTTATTGAATTTATTTTATTAATACATATAGCGAGGAAAAAATACGGTAAAAACTACCAGAATATAGTAAAATTTATCGAGTTTCTGGCTCTATTGGATCACCAAAAAGCTCGGTAATTTTTACCGAAGCGATTTGTTAGTGATTTCGGTGATGATAACCATAAAATATATTTTTATAATATGTGATAAAATGTAGCAAATAGAGTAAAACTTGGTAAATTTAGCATAATACCACTTGGTAAATTTAGCATAATATATTGTAAAAACCATTTATTCGGTTAAATTTACCTCTCAGCTATGTATTTTTCACTAATTGCGTGGTACTAAGAACTATTTTGAAAACCAGAATTTCCGAAAACCGTTACCATATGATCAGAAAAATTATTAAATGAATGGTTTAACTACCGTATATTTTGATTTAATTAAACAGAAATATGTTTTTTCTTTACCATTATGGTTTCATCTCATAGTTTCATTACTATACGGAACGGTAATTTTACCAGAAATTTGTTGCCGTGTTCATACATGTATTATTTTTAAAGTCACAAACTAAATATAGCAATGCTTGAATTATTTTCTTAATGTATTTCATTAAAAAAAAATTTTCTTCACAGATTGTTGTTAGTCTGCTACAATGGAATTGCCGCCAACATTAATGAATAATTCTTGATTTTTTGGTTAATGAACGATTTAAATAATGAAGATTAAAAATATTTAAAATTGTCATAATATGATGAGTAATTTTTGACTAACTAAACAACGTAAATTTTAAATAAATTGAAGTTATAATACATGACTTTTATGTTCTAATTCATAACCGTATTTATCAAAAATTTTTCCCTTCCTTCGTGCATGTCATTATACGAAGATTTACACTTTTAATCCAATACATAAATGAAAATAAATTTTAGTTATATAGAATTTAACTCTTTAGTAAAAATAAAAATCATAAATATTGGGATGGTTGTTAATTTTGTTATAATTGGAAGCAACTGAATTATTGTATTACAACATATTCGTCAATAAGTTTTGTACTCAAAATAAGTTTCGTCTTTAGCAATTAAATCTAAGCGATGTTAAGACTAAGCTTTGTTAGAAGCATTTTTCGGACTCTTTAGTAAAAATATTTAAAAAAATTCTAAGCACGGTGTTGGTTGTTAATTTTGTTACATTTGGAAAGAATTGAATCATTTTATTACAACTTATTGATCAACAAGTTTTGTGCTCAAAGTAAGTTTTGCCTTTAGCAATTAAAATTAAGAGACTTTGAAAAAAAGTCGCTGGTGTAAAACTAAGTAATGAACATAGAAATTTGTTGTTATTTACGTGCATGTAGTTAGTTTCTTACTTACTTGCAATTAACTGCAGATAAAATTTGAAGTGTTAAAAAGTTGGAATAATTTTTTAAGAAATAATTTATTCTTAAAATCTATTAATTTTATTTTAGATTTAAAATCACATAAAATAATCTATTTCTTTTTAAATAAGAAATCTTTTACATTTAAATTTGTGGTATATTTAAACATTATACCACATATTTTAATATTTATTAGGTATTTTATTTTAAAAATTTTAGCATTTCTTAAAAGGGCGACCATGAAAAGAAATCAACTTTGAAATTACATTATTTTAAAATGCCATTTTTTTTAAAGCTCTATAAATTAGATCTCGCGCTTAATTTCATTTCATATGTAAATTATCAATCAAATTAAAAACATATATTATTTATAAAAAAATTTTTAAACGAAAATTGTAGTTATATGCAATGTGATTCACTTGTTAAAAGTATAAATTTATATTTAATACTCGCGTTAACGAATTAAACGTACTGGCGGATTGACTGCGAATTTTATGCCGAGTCTAGCAAATGTATACAAAGAGTAAATAGTTCGATAAATGATTGTTTCAATTCGACAGGTGTTCCATGATTCACAGGTAATTTTCCTTCTTACAAACGCGCAATTCACGGATCTGACGACTTCCGTTCTACATTCTGCAAACCTATCGCCAAATCACTCCCATGCTTCCCAGCAACCCTAGTTACTTATTCAAACGTACATTTGACGCCAAAGCGAATGGTGGTTGTTTCATTTTTGCGCAATTTTTAATATTGACTTGCGCGTTACTTGCGCTAAAATGTTGGGAATGTTCTTTTTTTAAATGTGTTCTTTGGATTAAATGTTATGTGAAAATCTCAAAAAGGAAATTTGCTAAAAGAAATATGGGATTTTTAAATGATCGTTCTTTTTGGATATAAGCTTTTTCATTGAATTGGAGGTAGGGTATTTTTTTAATTTGTTTATTTATTTAATGTAAGATTATTGTTTAAAATGTTAGTTTCACTTTCGCACGATTTTTTTTTTTATAGAGTAGTGTGTTATCTGCGATAAAATGCAGCTGGGAATGTTATCTTTTCTAAGTGTTTCACTGATTAAATGTTGCGCGAAAAATCTCAAAGAAGAATTTTGTTTAAAAAAATATGGGATTTTTTAATTATTGTCCTTTATGGATATAAGCTTTTCTATTGAACTAAAGGTAGGGTATTTTAAGTTTGTTTAGTTATCCACTATAAAATTATTGTTTAATTATTAGTTTCCTTTTTTTAATTGGCTTGTGTGTTAACTGTATTAAAATGCAGGGAATGTTATCTCTCAGTTCTAAAAATGTTCTTTGGATTAAATGTCTCGTGCAAATCTCAAAAAGGAGTTTCACTAAATAAATACTGAATTTTAAATGATTGTCATTATGATATGATTAAGTATTGAATAAATTAAATTTTCCATTCGAATTAAAGGTAGGATTAGCCTGTGTGTTATCTGCGCTGATATGCTGGGAATGTTATCTTTTTAAAGTGTTCTTCGGAAAATTTCAAACGAAACGTTGCTATAATTTATGTAAATTTTAATTTATTGTTAAATGGGAATCTAAGCTTTTCTATTGAATTTATGGAAAAGAATGTTTAATTTTTATTAATTTTTCTAGTGTGTGGGATTATTCTTAAAACCAATTTAAAGAATTTCTTGAATAATTTTGTTGAATGAATTTCTTTAAAAGGGAGGGATATATTAAAATTTGCAATGTGCCTAATAATTCTTTATTTATATACTTTTAACTTAATTTTTATTTCTCTCACTGTAGCAAACCTAGTTACAAACCCTTGTTTCGTGCAGTGAAATCAATAATTGCAGCTACCGATTTAAAAATCCCGTCATAATAGCCTTTCAGAGTAAATGCGTAAATTCGTGCGTACAATGTAAATATATGTATATATTAATACGTATTTATGTTTTAAGAAAAGTATGAGACTATTAAAAAGATTAATAATTTCTTAACGAAAAAAAAACCTTTCTTTTTTTAAAAATGTATACGAATATTAAAATATTATAAGGAAGTGTTTTAAAAATAACTAATGAATAAAATATTTGATAGCTCCTTCGTGAAAAGAACAAAGGCCACTTTAGTAGAATAATTTAAGAATTTTCAAAGCAAAGAGGATTAATCATCTATTACAAATATTTTGTGTACATTTCTTTTTTGGTTTTTTGCTTTTAGACCCTTTTTACACTCATTTTTCAAATTTCGAGTCTTCCATAAAAACTTATGCACGTCATACAAGCTGAAGTCACTTGATTCTTGGTCACGAAATATAATAATTATATCATACTTGTTTTATTATCGTACATTAATTATTAGTTTTGTAAAACAAGCACACTTGTATAAACCAATTTAATTTGTTTTAATAATTTGCATAAATATTTTTCATTAAATTAATAAATAATTTTGAAGTGGTGTTATTATGGGAAGATTAAAGGCACACTTTTGATGAAGATGAAAAAATGGTGAAAATTAGAAGTGTTTGCTAATGTGCAAAATATTATATATAAATCGATATAACTATATAAAAATATTATAAAATAGCTAAAAATAAATAGGCGATTTGATAAAATATGTATATATATATATATATATATTAATTAATTAACTAATATCATACTTATTATTTATGGGAAAGAATTAAGTAAAAATATATAAATTATNTTCTATTATTAATAACATATAAATTATTAATTTTACTTATAATTAACTTATAATTCAGAAATTATTAAACATTGCAAAATATAATGCAATTTAAATTGTTATTCTATCAAGACTTTTATCAGACTTTTTATGAAAAATTAACTCATAATTGTGTGAAAATAAGGGTCTGGTTTTTTGAAAAGTTATGAAAACAGTTGGTTTATACAGGGTTTTTGTGAAAGATATTGTTTTTGTTAATTTATGAAAAGTGTAATCATACTTTTCGGAATCTTAACTTACCGTCAAATCGAGTTATTTCTGCCCGGTTCCTGTTTCTGGAAGTATATGAAAATAAGGTCCTGTTTTTCTGAAATAAAAAAACCCCACAAAAACATGTCTTTAAAGGGGCTGTAGTTTTGAAATTTTGAAATATACACGCCACCGACTGCATTTTTCAGAAAAAGAATTTTTTAAAGGTCCCATTTTCAGAATGAAAATATTCTGAAAAGTATTAATATAAAATAATTTGTGAAGGGTTGCGCTTTTAGAAATTTTGCTGCAACCCTTATCGATACAGAAAAAAGAGTAGGGTCAAAATTATCAGAATATGGTTTAATTAACCTGGTTTTTGGCTCTATGGGTACACCAAAAAGCTCGGTAAATTTTATCGAAGAGCTTTGGTAATTATTTTGGTAAAATTAGCAATTGAATATGATTTTATAATCATGTTTTTTAATAGTAAAATTTGGTAATTTTTTCGTGATATCTTAAAAAATGGCATAAAAATAATTTTTTCAGAAAAATTATTTTTTCAGTTTTGTATTTTTACTAAATATATGGTGATAATAACTATAATTTTGAAAACCAGAATTTTCGAAAACCCATATGAAGGAGAAAAAAATACCCGATGAATGGTGTAAATATCGCACATTTTTGTTTTTATTCCCAGAATTTTTTTTTTATTTTATCAGAAATGCAATTACCGTACAATATGGTAATTTTACGAGAATTTTTTCCTGTGTTTTCTGTATAAGTTTTTTGACTGTCTTATTGTTTCAGTATCGCAGTCCTTAAAATAAATTTTTTTTGCATAGTAATTTATTTTTCTGAATTCACTAACAATTAAAAACCTATCTTAGTCTTATCATTTTAATTAACTAATAATTAAACATCGTTTGAATGTTAAAGATCTTTCAGTATATCGAAACGTTTTGTAGTTAGGTACCATTAAATACATCAACTCCTATTCATTTTTAATTATATCCTTGAGATAAAATTGACCATTAGCAGCTATGTAATATCCCTATCACGCATATTTAATAGTCATTCATCATAAATTCTTAAATTATGCTTCGTAAAAATTATAAGATTTTCTGGTGTTCCGCATTTTATTCGATAAGATAAATTGTGGTGACGTCATTAGCACGAGATCAAAATCGAACATATCTTTTAAAAGGAAAGAAATGTCTTGCGTCCTTTTATCAATTGTTTACTGAATGAAGTACTTGCTATTTTAGGAATTTATTTCAAATTTCATTTAAATTATATTTTGTGAATGATTTGTTCCCGGAAAATATAAAACCTTGATTGATAATGTTATGTTCCATTGTTTATAAAATTCAGCTGTGTTTAATTATAAATTGCTGGTGGTTAGTTTGTTATAACGTTACATTGAATTAGTGTACAGCTTTTTTTTTAAAATTCAAATTTAAGGGTTCAGGTTCTACTATGTGAAATCCAACGTTCAAACGTTTGGTGATAGCTAATTAATAATTCATTTTGCAACTTTCTAAGAGGAATAATATAATAATTTGAAAATACACTTTTACGAATCACTGATTAAAGCGTTGATCGTTCGAAAACGCGTTAATTTCTCATTTAAATGAATTGTTATGCTTATTTTTTTATTAGTAGAGCAAAAATAATTGCTTTTAAGGACTAAAAACGTATTATTGTTAAAATGTTCTATTCATAATCGATGCTTATTGAAATATAAAATATGTATTCATTGTTTCAAGAACACATCCACATTAAATCATCCACACCTCTGTGCACTACTGAAAACTATTAATTGGTTATTCAAAAATATTTGTTAGAAAAAGCGTAAAAATATTTTTTTAGAAGAAACGGTACTTACGTATGATTAACAGGGTTCTGTTTAGAAGAAACGGTACTTACGTATGATTCCCAGGGGTCTGTTAAGAAGAAATTTGGATTCGTTACCGGACCCTTCACAAAATATCTTTTCATAAAAACGGACCCTTCACGAAATATTTTAAATTAAAAACGGACCCTTCACAAAATATTTTAACTTAAAAACGGACCCTTCACAAATTTGTTTATCTTCATTATTGTTTTGTTAATCGAATAAACCCTTCCCAGAGGGCAGAAAACAAGAAAGATGGATGTAAACGAATTAAGTTTTGTCTTTGGCAGACGATTCTTCCATTATTCGTCCGAAATGAATATTCTGCTTTCAGCAGTATAGGCTAAATACCAAATATTTGTATGTTGCATCTCTAATTTAGAAGCAGCAATTGCTGTTTAGTTTTGAAAATTTAATTTTTTTAATTATAATTTTACAGTGCCGAGCATAATCTTGTATCTATTTACTATTTAAAAACTCCTTGAAAAAGGTTTTTGCAATAACCGGACCCTATTTGCACAAATTCATAAAACCATACCATGGTTGAAAGAATGTGAGTAATTTTTTCACAATTTCACGAAAACCGGACCTTTCACAAAATGTCTGGACAGACTCCTGATTCCGATGACCATTTTTGCTTCATCTGAACGTAAAATTAGAAATGGTTGAAATTTAAATATTATCTCATTATTATTTGTATTTTGTGAATTTTTTATATTCAATTAATGTATTGAACTAAGTATAAAAGATAGCAAAATGACTCTGGCACGATGTTTGCGAAAATGGTCGACGGGATAATATGTAAGTATCGAAAAAAACAAATTCCAAAGTGTTTTTTCGACGGTATCATATAGATATAGACAAGTGTTTCACAAACTTATGACTTTTGTGTACCCTTTCTAAATTTTTCTTAACGTTGTGTACCACTAATAAAATAATGAATGTATTTTTTACTATAAAAAAATTGCTTAAAAGTTAAAAATCACAACTGGCTGTAGACACCACTAATTATTAACTGTTAACTCTGCAAAAAATAACCAATAGAAAAATACGTAATCGTAAATTTTCATGGCTAGCTTTGTTTTTAAATATTTTTTGAAATTTTCGTTAGTTG